ACACAACTTTATCTATTTCCACCAAGTCTTGCTTCAAATTTCTGCCTTCTTGGCTTGGCACTTCCATCATCAAATGATACAGAGGTAAAACAATTGTCTCCTTCGAGAGAGGGGGTGCCACAGTCAGGAAGCCACAGCATTTGGAGTTTTGATTGTGCCCACTCTAACAAAGTGAGCCTTCCTGAGACTTGACATGAAAAGGGAATAATAAAATGACACAGGGGCCTGAACCCACCTGTGCAACACTAAATCCACCACCAGTAAGCTGCAGTACTCTCAGCTACCCACCCTTTCCTCCTCCCTGTGGTAAGAAAGCAAGCTCAGTTCAAAACTTCAAGCCCAACTGAACCTGACAAATTTAAGGTTGTGTGGAAATGAATCAGACCATTCCACTCAAACCATTCCCAGAGAAGCCTGCGTTTTACCCAAAAGCTTAAACACAAAGTTTTAATGTATTCATCGTTACCTAAAAAAGTTTCTTTTCTCTGAAAAGGGGCTTTCCCTTTTTCCCAATTGGCTGCAAGCCATCTCCTGTCAAAGGTGATGGATCTTCCTTTGTTCTCGGCCCAAAGAGAAAAGGAACCTCGTGTACAAAATGGCCCTAAATGATTTAATTTTTAAGAATTTTCTCATTTCCCTCATCCTGCCAAAAGAGACCTTGATACCCAAGTTCAGGTCTTGGAACTTGGATATCTTACAACTTCATGATACGCCTATTTATATAAAAGCTGTATTTTTATTTCTCATACAAGGACATGGGGAGAGCCACGTTTTAGCCACTCATACATCCCACAGATCCAGGCAGTTACAGCTCCTTTGGGAACCACGGTTCCCTGGGACTGCAGCTCTGTTTATGTACCAGAGTAAACAATCTCACCACTGGAGTCCTCTGCTCTTGCCCCTGACAGCTGATTTCAGAGACATATTTTGGTTCCCAGGCTGACAGTCCCAGGTAAACCAGGAGCCGAGACAATCAAGCCAAGATCAAATGGATCAATTCAAAGGGGATGCTAAACCAATTAATAACTGAGAGGGATCTGCTTACACTGCCAGCATTTACAGTCACAGTTCTGCAGCTGTTTATTGTTACAGTTCTACAGGGGAAATACTTTTTTAAAGTAATTCAAGGCTAGAAAACACCAAACTAATGGTGGACTGTGGATGAGGACTCCGAAGAACCAGAGAGAAAAGCCTACCAGAGCTGGTCTGTGGCACTGAAAGAACTCACAGAAGAAGAGGAATAGATTTGAAATAATGGACTTGTTCAACTGAGATTGTTGAATAGAGAGAAATTACAAGTTTATGGCTGTTTTAATTTTTTTAATAGTGGTTTGTCCCTGCCCCTATGTTCCACTCCCTTCTCACGCATGTTCTATTGTTATCCCTTCCCTTTTTACTCTGTACCCAATTGTTGTTCTTCCTTCCCAAAACTTCTCCCCTTATTCACCATACTCTGGAAAGTTCTCCCAGCTCCCCTGTAAAAGGGGGAGCCATTTTAATAAAGTGGTTCACTCCTTTCCACCCTACAACCTGTGCTGGACCCTGAGTGAACTTCCCCGTGTCCCCAGCCAGGCTGTGGTAGTGGACTTCCAAAGACATTTCTTTCTCTGTCTGGATTCCCTAAAACGAGGTAGTTGGTGCAGTTCCTCCCCCTGTTTTGCATACATCTTCCTGGGCTCTCTTCCCATGTATTCCAGGACAGCAGCCACACCTTCTGACTCTTGCATGATCTGGAATTTCCACCCATGGGACTCTGGTGCCTGTATCAGCTCTTTCCTGGCTGTGGGCTCCTCAAGATTAGAATTCAGGATTAAAGTCAGGAGACTTACAAAAAAACAAACAAAAAAACCCACCACAGATCAGAAGCTTTTATTGACTGAAATTTCCCTGCTTCTTTCCTCAGCAGGAAAATAATTATGGCAACAAGAAAAAAAAACACAACAACAACAACAACAACAAGAAATAAAAAAGTGCTTCTGTTGCAAATTATTATTCTTGACTCTCTTTTTGACTCTTCTTATTTTGCAAAGTTTAAAATGGCAATATTTCCTTTTCCTTTGTTTTTTTCCCCCCTCAGAGACCAGCAGCATCAGTCATTAGTTTCTTCTTTGATTTCTGAAAAAACTCCAAACAGATTCATAAGAAAATGTGATTTCACATAACACAAAATACTTTGGATTTTTCAAATGTCTCATATTTCAAAATTAGACACACATATACCCCCATACACGTCCAAAAATATTTAAGGCATATGACACCTTTCAACCATTTGAAAGTAGGGTAATCNGACGTGTCACTAAAGGGGGAAAGAAGACAATGGAAAACTATAGAACAAAATACTTTGTATTTTTCAAATGTCTCATATTTCAAAATTAGACACACATATACCCCCATACACGTCCAAAAATATTTAAGGCATATGACACCTTTCAACCATTTGAAAGTAGAATAATCTTGTTTCCAAAAAAGAAAAAGCCTGGAAATGGAAATCCAGACAGAAAACTCTCTCTTCTCTTTTCCCCCTCTCGTGCTGAGGAAGTTCTGCCTTGAAGAGAGGTGTTTATACCTCTGGAAATCTTAGAAATTGTCAGTCCTGTGCAGCCATTCAGCTCACAACAGATGCTGTCTGAGAGAGGACAGAACTTTGGCATCTATTTTACTGACTTCTAAGTCCCCGTTTCTATGAGCAGCTGAATGTAAGGACCAGGTACAGGATAACGGGACCAGCCTCGGATGGCAGACCAGAAAAAAGGAAGTTCCACTCCCATTCATGCCACAGTTTTCATCCTGCATTCAGAGGAGCTACTGCTGTCTTGGAATGCTTTCCTTTTCCCCCCAAAAAAATAATCAGCTGGCCTTTCAGTTACCAACAGTGGTGTCTCCTTTCTTGCTACACCACTCTACATCCTCTCTCCTTCAGCAAGCGGTGCCAACTCTGGCTCTGTTTGGTGGCTCTGGTTTGAGCTCTGGTCTGGTGTCACTCCCTTTTGCTTTCCAGCCTGTGACGTGGATCCCAGTGCTGTTCCATTGGGCACTTGGAGAAGAGATGGCTCTGTGAAGTTCTGTCCTTCTGCCGTGCTAAAAAATGGCATTTGGGAGTGCAGCTGATTTGAGAATTGAGCTCCCTGCAGGCAGAAATCACTCCAGAGGACAGCCTGATAGGCAGTGATGTCTGCAGAGGGAAAAGCAACAAAGGAAAGACAGAATAATGAAAATAACAGCAGCGTGTCTATGCTCAGTGCAAACAGCATTGCAGTCATGCTCTGGTGGTCACTGCAGTAGAGCAGACACCACATATAGATAAAGGATCACTTTGCTGTTTACACTGCAGTGGTTTTATCCAAAAGGTAGTTCTTAGGAGGAAAAAATCTTTGAAGTTCATAGCATTGTTATAATGCAAAAAGAAATCATGATGTCACTCAGCACTGATCCTGAGAGTATGTAATGATTATTAGAGACACCCACTCCCCAATTTTTTTTCTCCACTCCTATTTTCCAAGAGGTTCCAACTCTGTCAAGCATAACCTGAATGTTAATCTTCACTTTCATTTATAGAAGCTGGAAGCAGGAATGTACTGTTAAGTAATATCTATAATCCAGCTAAGCTGTTCACTTGCTTACTCGCTGAAGTAAGACTCACAGGTGTGTCTGCACTGACAGGCTAGTTCCCTGCCCACTGTACTTTGGGAACCTGGAACCTTTTTAGGAAGAAATTCTTCCCTGTGAGGGTAGTGAGGCAGGTTGCCCAGAGAAGCTGTGGCTGCCCCATCCCTGGAAGTGTCCAAGGTCAGGTTGGATGGGGCTCTGAGCAACCTGGGATAGTGGGAGGTGTCCCTGCCCATGGCAGAGGGTTGGAAGTGGATGATCCTTAAGGTCCCTTCCTACCCAAACCATTCCATGATTCTGTGAAATTGGTCATAACAGTGGCAGGATCCCTTCCTTGAACAGAACAGTCATGCACTGCTGATTGTGCTCTGGACAGAGTAAGAGAATAGGAACTCTGTTCCTTCAACAATCTTTCAACTTTATCAGCCTGCCCCTTTACACACCCATTATGTTCACACAGTGTGCCCCAAAGAATGCAACACACACTTTGGCATCACGCTATAAAAATGTCAATTTGGTGCACTGGGGCACAGCCCTCTTATTACTTCTGGCACTTCAGACTGAAAAACCATTGAAAAGAATAATTATGCCTTGAAACCAGAGAGGGGAGACAGGCCAAGTGCAGTAGATAGCACAGGTGCTGCCAACCTGGCCTGGACAGTGTCAGCAGGAATAATGGGAACAAGAGCCAGCCTGCAGCCTGCTGTGAGTCAGACTCTGTGAGTCAGACTTCCCTCCCTGACAAGGACCACAAGACTAGTACAAAAACAGCAGCAGCATCTGTGGTCTGAAACTATTCTCTTATGTGATAAGACAAAACATGTAGTTTTTGGACTGTGAGCTTAATTCAACAAACCTGACAGTCCAAATAAACTAACTGCAATGGTTTATCATTTGATTATACTTGGGCTTGAATAGCTTCAAAATACAAAGCCTGGACACAAGACAAGGAGACCAACAGTGCCAGTTTAACCTAGTTACTTTTTAGAAAATTATGCAGAAGTGCCTTAATCTGTTGCAAATTCAAACCAGAGGAAGAAAAAGAAAGACTCTATATGCATACTCTGCTGGCTTCTGTCTCTCTTCTTTTCCATTACCCCAAGATATGAAACTTCAAACTGGTTTCTGCAGAAGCCCAACAGAGTGAGAAGCCTGTTTTTCTTTCTACCTCCAACTATTCCACTTGCTGTGGCACCTTTTCCATTCTGCACCCTTGATTCCCACCCACATATACCAAAGGCATGTTCACTTGCACGACAGTACACTCCTGCAAAATTAGTTTTCCAGCCCAGAGAAAAACCACTGCACTACCTGACACATTCACATTTAATGCTCTTTCTGACATGTGCAACCTGCATAGTAACTTTTGATTCAAATGAATGGGTCACTCAGCACTTCAAAAAAAAAACAAGCATACAAGGAAATTAGAAAAAAAGATATATATATATATTTGTGCATGCATGTGCACGTTTCTACTTTCTGTCACAGCCACCAGCGAAACCACTTAGTGTTTCAGGGTATGGTTTAGTTACTCCAGAGGTGCAGGATGACAAAATATTTCAGAAATGTACCTGAGTTTCCACTTGAGTGCTGTGGCATGAGCTGTCCCCCCATGTAGTTTTGTCCATAGCCTTGTGTGGCTCCATAGGTTACTGCTCCAGTGTTACCAGGTAAGGCCAGGAAAGCTGGATGGAGCTCAGGAGGTGTTGGAGGAGGGAGGTGGTCACTGGAGAGCAAATTGGTGGCCAGGTGATCTGGCAGTTGGCAGAACTGGGAGAGCTGGTGCTGCTGGGAATATTGGGACAGCTGGTAAATTCCCCCCTGGCTGCTGTACTGGCAGTACGTGGTCTCCAGGTTCCCTGCAGTCTCCAGCTGCTCAGGGTAAGGGCAGGAGGGTAGTGAACTCAAGCTGCAGAGAGCAAGGAGAGGCAATCCAGAGATTAAAGTAGGGTCAACAGCTACAGCAACCCATCCAGTAAACAACTGTGTTATTGCCAACCCTGATCTGACTCCAAGCCCTCCTCCAAGATGCCAGGACAAGGGCAACAGAAACCACTTGAGCCAAGTGGTTTCACAGCAGGATTCCTGACCAATGGGCATTAGTGGGGATTATCTTCCCACTCTCCAAAGCACACCCCAAAGTTTGAAACATCCTCTCTTTCACTTGACAGGTATGCAATTCTGGAAGTATTCTGACCAGAGGTATCACTTGTCTCACAGCAGGTGCCCTGTCCCACTATGCACATCATGCAGCTTTCCATGCTCCATTTAAAAGATACTGTCACTCCTGCACCTCACTTTTCACTTATGCTCCCACCTAATTCCTTGTCCCATGTCCCACATTCACCCTCGCAAGGCTTCTCCCAGGCTTCGCTTTTTTCATTCCCATTCTCATCTGTTCCTACCCTTGATTCTGGATGCTGTAAGTGAAGGCCTCCCTGGAGCCATTTTCCTGACTGGACAAGCAGCATTCACTGCTGGGAGTGCCCAGCCCCAGGGAACCAACAGGGCTGTGGGGGTTGAAGGCCAGGTTGGTGGCCCTGCGGATGGGAGGGGGGCTGGGAAGGCTCGGGAAGCCCTCCACGCTGCTGGAGCTGAAGCTGAGCTGCTGCGACACCTTCGTCTGAACTGCTTCACAAGATGCCACCAGTCCTGCCACCGAGGAGGCTGTGAATGAAAACAGAGACTGTCACACTGGGCTGCCACAGCAGGAATGAACAGGAGCAAGCAGAGGGAAGGAGGAGCAGAACAGAAAAGCAAGATGCCAGACATTCACCGGTGGGAATAAAAGTGAGCAAGTACCGGCATTGCTGTAGAGAAGCACAAGGAAGTACTAGCAAGCTCTCTGGAGCACAGGATGGTGTTTATTGGCTAAATAAAATTACCTTCATGATTTCAGCCTCTGCATATTATATTTATTCAGCTCTCAAGAAGGCAGCCAAGTGAAGCAAAGTACTTCCTGGAAAAAAGCCAGGAATTATCCTCCAGTCATCTTCCATCACTACTGTCCTCTGGGAGGAGTGTGCTGCACTCAATTCAGAAGATTACCCTTTTGAAAAATTTAACTGTGGTTTGAAAGAAACAAAAACGTGCACATCCACATCCACAGTCATTGTTTTGACCATATTTTCTCTCGGATGAGTCATGTCAGAAACAAAAATTAAAAGAGCAGAGACGTCAGCTGAAGATCTTTTGGAAAAAGAAGCTGGAACACAGAAAAAGAAACCAACACCTTTTGGTTCCTAGAATCTTGTTTGGTGACCTCTCTCTTCGGTCACTGCTAGAAAATGAGAGAGGAAGAGTTTCTTACAGAAGAGCCTCTGTGGAAACAGGACAATAGAGGACATTAAAGGTCACAAAGGACATTATGTCACATCACATATGCTGGTGATCCAGAGTAACAACTATACACAGAAGTTCAAGGAGCTTGCACTTGGGGCAAGAGAACAAGATTTTCTTTCATTATGGCAATTAGCAAATGATTTGTCTCTTCACAAGTGTAACCATTAAGTGTGCACGACAAGTTTAAATGATTTTTTGAGTCTAGCTGGGCTGAACCAGCCGACTGTTCAGGTAAAGCTGGTTTATTCCCACTCACAGGAAAGCTTTAGGGAGAGTTTACAGTTGTACTTCACCCTTGCAGGCATACAGGGTAACATCAAATGCACTCCACCAGGTACAAATCAAAGGCCTCAAGCATAAAACCTAAAGATGCCACAGCAAGCATTAGCAACCTTTGGAGAATTTTGGAATGCAAGCCCAGAGAGCTGATGAGGAGACTCCACTTCAACACCTCATAGCACCGTTTCTCAGATTCCCCATCACACTGTGCATTTCTGTCTCTCTTATTGCATCTTCCCACATGCAGTTTTTTCCAACTCTCTGCAACCATGGAGAGAGGGAATCATGATGTTTCAATGAAAACTTTTCAAGTTTCAATAACCTCGATTTTGGGCTCATTTAGAAAACCGGAGCAAGAGCTAGGATGGCACCTCTCAAGCATTCACATGCCCATGCAATTCTCAGTGGTTTATTTTTTCTGTCTGAACATACTATTTATCCATGTCAGGCAGCATCTATGATATACCTGTCCCACTCCCAGGGTTTGACGTAGCACAGATCTACCCCCACACAACAAAGCAGAAGAAAGCAAATATTTAGTGTCCTCAAAGTCAAAATGGCTTAGCCAGAAATGAAACTGAGGATCTCTCCTGATTTTTTTTTTTAAAACCTTCATTTGCACAGGTTCTCCTAACCATCGTGTCCCAGAATGTTCACACAAACATTACGAAACACACCTACCTGAAAACCAGTCTACCTCCAGGTAAAGCTTCAGTTCAATAATGACATTAGGGTGAGCTGTTCTGCAGATGGCACTAGTTTTCCTCAGGATGAATACAAGCAGCCCAGGAAGTCACTTCTAATCCCAATTTCACACCTACTAAAAATTAAGTTGTTTTTTGAAACATTTGCAATACTCAGTGTAGATAATCTTTGTGGGTCATGGCAATAGGACCCCCAGGCAAAGAGATTGTGAAGGGACACCCGTGGCCTCCAAAGAGCTGCTTTAGCCTTTTCTCAAGACTTTTCTGCTTCTCAGTCCTTTCAAAGACAGATGCTGAAATTGTGCCTTCTGAATAAAGTCACAAATGCAGTGGGAATAAACAATTCCCAGAGAAGCAATATCTGCTAAATCTGACATATTTACAGAAGATTCCAGAATTGTTTGATGGAGAATTCTGATCACTGGTTGGAGATAATACCTACATTTTACTATTCTGTTGCTTTTCCTGACACCAATATAGAGATAAATAACTCAGAAGGCTTTCCAGTGAACACGGGAATGTAACAGCAGGATTTTTGTTTATCACTTCCATTATTTCTGGATTTTCAGTCCATGAGACAACCTTGGGAATTTCTGGAGAGCAATTTAATAATTTGCAGCTTCAGATCTCTGAACCAGCCCTGGTTAAGACATGTGCCTTAACTCAAGAATGTCTGTTCTAAGTCTCCAGTTACACAGCTGCCTTACCCCTACTATAGCTGCCTCCTCAGCATCCTGGCAGAGTTCAGAGATCCATTCTTTAGTGCAAACAGCTTCCAATGAGTGGGATAGTCCTAAAGTAACAGAAATGGATGTGTGTTTTCCTGTCGGGATGACTGGGATGTCTGTCTTTCACAAGTCAAAGGAGACTGAGGCCTGTCCTAGAGAAGTATCCATGAACTTACAGCAGGGCCTGGTTTCACAAGCCTGTGTCACACACTGATGTCACAAACAGTTTCTCTTAATGCTGAGTAATTACAGCCTTTACTGGGACATTAAGGGCCATCACAAAGCTTTTCACAGACTTGTCCTGTTCTTGAAATTACAAGAGAACACATTTGTCGTGCAAATGACATCTTGAAAGTAGGAAAAAAATATTAATCAAACTTAGGAGCAATGGGCTCTTCATTTAATTGGAGTGATGGTCAATGAACCAATTCAGTTTCTAACTGCATTGCTTTGAGAAGCCTGTCAGTCTGATCCTCTTCTGGATTTTCAGTAGGCCAGAACCTACCACTTCTTCAAAAGATATGATTCCTGCTTGCCATGTCAGCTACACATCATCAGCTTTAAAGTAATTTGTTCACAAGCCAGAATCCTGTGAGTGAAAGCATTAGAGCCTGCCATTTATTTATTCTTCTCTGACAGATCATATCCAGCTTCATCCAATTGCTCTCAAGACTTCCACGACCATTCCACACCTCTGAGAGTTCTCTGCACAGACTGGGCTCCTGACAGGTGTCCTCACAATACAGCCACACGAAACAAAGGATTTCCAGTGGGGCAGAAAAATCTCCTCCCACAAACCAGAGGAACTTTTCTTTCTGAAGGGTTAACTCAAAAAAAATCATAAGCCAGTGCTTTAAGTCAGTGGATCACAGATATATTTATATCAGTAAGGAATCTCAGGAAAACAAGGAAAACTTCAAAGAACTGCCAGTGTCAAAAAATCTATTAATCTCAAGCATGCTGTCCAGCAAAAGTAGTAAAAAAACAATTCTAAGACCAAAGCAAGCTCAAAATGGAAGTTTTGAGGCACAAAAGGCTCTCATAGCAAGCAGTGTGCCCAATACCCAAATCAGAAGCCTTAACTGCCATCAAGGTAAGATACGTCTCAAATACAACTCGCTGACATTTTTAATCAGCTTGTCTGGCAAACTGGAAAAAACACTGGGACATTAAAAAAAAAAAAAAAGAACCCACAAACCAACAGTCAGAAGTACTGGCCAGAGCAAGGAAAAACAGTGGAAAAGGCAGCACTGAACACTCTCCAAAGGTCTTGGGTAACAGATTATACTGCCCTCATCATTTCCTTGCCCTGCTGAAAGTGGTTAAATACACTGGTACCAAGGAAAGCACCTGAACTGCCACTCCAGCAGGCCACAATCTATGGGCACAACTGCACCACAATGCACAGGCCACAAATTATTCTGCTGAAATCTAACATTACTAAGCAATTGGTTTTGCCTTGTAAACTGATAACTTTTTTTTTCTGATTTGTTTCCTCTTTTATTTTGCTTCAGCTAGTTTGGATTTTTATCCTATTCAAGTTTTGCCTCCTTCATGTTCTGAGATATTCTAATAAAGCTAACAGGTGGACCCCTGGATGGCTCTATTTCCTGGCAAGGTTTTTTTTTATGAACGAATTCAGGTCACGTTGTCTTTCATTTTCCCTGTTTCAGTTTTTGCTTTCTTAAAGAGAAAAGTCTGCCTATGCAATGCTAGATAACAGGCAAACAAACAAAAAGCAAATTTTATTGTTTTATTCTCCATAGCTGTGTTACCCTGCATGTAGTTAAGGCAAAACTTCAACTGCAGCTTTCCATGCCATGGTGCCCTGCAGATCTCCCTTCTATGAGGACTCTACACCAAGTATCAGTCTTCTCCCTCAAAGAGTACACCACCTTAGGTCTCTACTCTGCCCAGGCACCAGTTCTCCCATGACTTGTAGGAATATAATTTTTAGGACTTCTACCTTCCCTCTGATTAGAGCTGAACAAATCTGGAGGGCAGGGTGGGTTTCATAAATAAAGAGAGCAGCACGTGGCTCATCACACAGACCTTACTCCTCCCTTCCCTCAGGCAACCGGGTCCAAAACCACTCACCAAACCTCACAGTTCGTGTGCACTAGCAAAGCAAGCCTCTTTTCTGAACAGTGACTTAGAAAAGGTACTTTTTTTAATCCCCTCAAACAGATCTGTATCTGGAAACTATTCACCAGCCCTTAGCTGACACAAATAGATTTCATTACTTCTTGCCCAGCCTGATTTAAAGAGAACAAGGGGAGGCTTGTTCCCTCACACAGATCTAGTGGAATGAAGTAAACTCTCGTTTTCACACATCCCTATCACTGAAGACTCAGACAAGCAGAGGAAGCCTGTGTTTCCTAAAAGCTGGATGCACACACAGCAAATGCAACAGGAGGCAGTCAGCAGCAAGCTGAAAGGATTCCTGCAGTAAAAACCCAGCTCTCTTTATCACTCATTTTCCACATACCCATTTCACCCTCAGGGACATTCACTTGCCCTTTTTCTTCCTTACACACTGCACCAAGAACTCAGATGGGACCCTTCCCTCCTATCAGAAGGCTTGCTTGTCTTTTCCACATGGAGAATTGCATCCCAGCGTGCAGATTCCCCAGAAAGAAATGGCTCATTGGAAACAGAGGACAAGATCACATCCCTGAATGAAACTTCTATTTCTCTAACAGAGGAAATGGATTCAAACTAAAAGTTCAGAGTAGATATCAGGAAGAAATTCTTTGCTGTGAGGGTGGGGAGGCCCTGGCACAGGTTGCCCAGAGAAGCTGTGACTGTCCCATCCCTGGAAGTGTCCAAGGCCAGGTTGGATGGGGCTCTGAGCAACCTGGTCTAGTGGAAGGTGTCCCTGCTCATGGCAGTGGGTTGGAACTGGATGATCTTTAAGGTCCCTTCCAACCCAAACCATTCTGTGATTCTATTAATTCTCTCTTGACTAAATAGCACATCTGCAGATGTATTTTAGGAACCAGCAGAGGTTCCTACAGCATAGAAATCTGAGGATAATTGGTTTGCTTCCTTTAAATGAATTATTTTGCAAAACCTTAGTCTTTATCTAATTAAATACAGGGCTCAACAGATGACACTGCTTCAGCACTCTGGGAAGCAGTGAATTATTCAAACACTTTGACCATATTTACCCTGCTGTAAGGAGTGGAAAAACCAGAACTAACTGAATTACAGTCCTATTGTTTAAATAGGTCATAGGATTGACTAAAGTAGCCCTTGCCTTGAGAGGATGACAGGTAAATTTAAATGACAGAAATACCAAATTAGGTTATCAAGAAAGTTTCTCAATTACTTACTTTTAGCACGCATAAGTCTAAAGCTTACTGATACAATCTTACAGGTGCTTTCTACAGTGCCAAAGTACTTTTAAGGTATCAGCACTATTAAAAAAAACTGAGTCACTATTAGAAAATGAGTTGCAAGAACTGGCCTTAATACTGATAACTAAATACTGGTACATTTAGAATAAAATGAGGGAGCAGAAATTCCAATGAATGAATTACAGTGGGAAGCAGGAAAATGCACACAGTAGTACCATATGTCAGCACATATATTGCTTGGGACACCCCTCCCAAGGAAGTGATGAAGTCCTCATCACTTTGGAAATCTTTTCAAATTGTGCCAACCTGGAAATGTAATCATACATAGGAAACGCTTTAGGGAGCATTCCTGACTCCAGGGAATGCTCTGGTACTCCACACACGAATAAACAATTGAACAAACTCTCTCTTTAGCTGCCATCAACCTTTAAGCACAGCACAGGTAGAACCCTGGTCGAACAGCACACCCCACTGACCTGCAGCTCCACTGCAGCTGAGAGTAAATTCAGCGTCAGCTCTGGAACTCAACTATTGTCTCCCTCCCTCGAGGTCTTGCACACAATGGAAAATTGCACTTCTTGGGGAAGCCAAGGAACCCTCTTGAGCATTTAAAGGTATGGAGTACCTGAGGGAGCCTCTACAACACCAACAGTTTGTACAGTGCACCTTCCTCACACACCTCACTTGACTCGGGTTGCAGCCAGAATGGTTCCATCTAAACCAGGGTATGGGATGTGTGTATCTGCCATGAAGAACATCATAACCAGAGTAACACTTTCATCATCACTTAGAGCAGCAGGACCAGTGTCAAACAGCTATTATGGAAGAATGCCCCTATCACTTATCCTTATGAAGTCATATTCAGAATTCCTTGCTGGCTTGGGCTAGGACGTGAACAAGGACTGCAAATTTGGCTCCAGCATCAGCACAGAAGCACCACAGTGCTGGTACATAGCTGGGACAGACTCAATTAGCAGAGAGCTGCTATACCTACATTCATAGAAAAGTCTGGGTTGGAAGGGACCTTAAAGATCATCCAGTTCCAACCCCCTGCCATGGGTAGGGACACCTTCCACTAGCCCAGGTTACTCCAACCCTCATCCAGCCTGTCCTTGAACACTTCCAGGGATGGGGCAGCCACAGCTTCTCTGGGCAACCTGTGCCAGGGCCTCCCCACCCTCACAGGGAATAATTTCTTCATAATATCTAACCTAAATTTTTCCTCTTTCAGTTTGAAGCCATTCTCCCTCATCCTGTCACTGATGAAAAGTCCCTCTCCAGCTTCCCTGTAGCCCCTTCAGATACTGGAAGGTGCTGTGAGGTCTCCACACAACTTTCTCTTCTTCAGGCTGATCAATCCCAACTTGACCTGGTGTCACATTTTGCACTGATGGTGTGGGGCATTCACATGACCCTCTCTGAAGTGTCTGTGAACATCCCAGCTCCAGCAGCAAATGCTGTAGTTATGGAAAACACTTGTGCTGGTCGGGGTCTTACCTGAGGCAGAGGAGAGTGGTGCAGGCTGTGCTCTGAGCAGGCTGGAGCAGTTCCCAGCTGCAGTGTTTCCTCCCAGCACGGCAGATTGGTCACGAGCAACGTCAGGCAACAGAGGCACAGGCAGAGGAGGTGCCCTGGAGGCAGCAAAAAGGGTTGTGAGGATGAACCAGAAGACAAGGCAGGGCATTGTGACCAAATACACACCCTTCTACCCTACAATGGGCAGATCCTACATCCCTAGCAGGTGGAAAAAGAAAGCAGTGGCTGATTTAGGTGTGCAAGGAACGCTGTCTTGACAGTATTTGGGGAAGCAGCCCCAAGTCCCCAGGGTAGGACAGGCAGCAGGGACAGTGCAATGAAATAAGTCAGGTGGTCTCCAATATTTAACTTAATTTTTCCTCTTTGCATTCTGTTTTCTCACTCCAGATTGCCACAAATATATCCCTGTGGAAACTAATTTCTTCCCTCACACATTCACTCACTACCCCTTGAAAGACCATCTATCCTCTCACATACTCCCTTCCCCCCCCAGTAAATGTCCCCTGCTCACCTATGGAAGGTGCTACCTTATATTTATTCAAAGAAGCCCATGACTTTGTAAGACTGATCCAAGCAAGCAGCACTTCCATCACCAAGTGAAAATCCATGGAAATGGAAAGCAATGGTGGGAAATGCAATGGGCTCCTGACCATTCATAAAAACATAAAATGAAGGGGTGATCCACAGACCTTTCTATCTTATCCCTTATTCTCCACATGACTCCACAGCAGTCTCAACAGATCTATTTCAAACCCTCTTTTAAGAGGGTCCCCTACAATTTGCCAAGAAATCTGACGAGCTCCCGAGGTCCAACTCAACTGTCAGCTCTCCACAGTTTAAATGTAAAGGGGGAATGGCAAGGGAAAACATTTAATTCATTAGGTATCTGTTGTGGAAAGATGAGAAAACAGAGTAGGTCCCCCACCCATAATCATCTGACAGAGGTGACGATGTTGGATGTTTTCTGTTGCCTTTCGCTTTCAGCCTCTCCGATTTCCGCCACTTTGCCCTGCGATTCTGGAACCAGACCTGATGAATGGAAAGAAGGGATGCATTCAGGAAGGAAAACATCTCCACATGGGGACACTGGTAACAAATCAGCAGTGACTGCTTCCACACGTCACCAGGTGAGCCCAGAAACCTTTCTTCGACAGAAAGGAACCTCAAGAAACCTTTCTTCCAAAGAACCTGCATAATTTGTTGCAAACAGAGAAATAATAGCAGAAAGACACCCCCAAACACCAATTTCCTTTGTTGCCCACGATTTTCAAGACAAAAGAGATTAACTCTGATCTCCTTAGCCTCATTTATCTACCCACTGTATGATTCATCTTAGGAAATGGGAAGATATGCAACCGCAGACTCCATGGCCATTTTGGGTAGGGTTGAGCAGTGTCCATCCCTGTGAGCTCACTTCCTTGTCACCAGTGGCAGGTGTAGTCATCACCTCCTCCCTGCCCCAGTCCCTGTCCATCCCTTTTCTGCACAGAACCCACTGTCCCCACGCAGGCATTACCAGGATTCGCTGGGGTGTCACACCAATCACAGCTGCAATCTCCCTCCTCTTCTCATTGTCGGGATAGTGGTCTTCATGGAACACCTTCTCCAACTCTTCTAGCTGCTCTAGAAACCATGCATTGTTCAAAAAGAGAGAGAGAGATGGGGAGTATGTGATAAACAAGAAAAAAAACCAAAAAAACTGCAGAGGAAAGCAGGAAAAAACCAGAACATTTTTATTATATTTAGAAACACATGAACAACATAAAAGATTTTTTTTTTTAAAAGTAAACCACAAAAATAAACAAAACTCTTCTTTTGCAGTAAAAACAAAAGAGCATTGCTAGCAATGCTTCAAACGTAAGACACTTTATTTGAAGATCTTCTCTATTTGAAGATCCTCACACATCTGAGGGTGTGGAATGCAGTGCAGCACCACTTAGGGCAGCTCAGCACCTCCATGGGCCTTCAGCATGGGGAAAGGAACACCAGTGCCCCTGGCACTCCAAGTGTCCCTGTTTGCCAGTGGGTGCCCCAGTATCTACCTGCATTGTAGGAGGTGCGGGACTTCTTCCTGGCCGGTGGTAGGATGTGTGGATTCTCAAGTAAGGCTTTTTTCCCCTTTCCCCCTTTTTTCTCCTCCTTGGTTGCATCATGGCTACTTCTGGATTCCAAGACTGAAGACACCTTGTAGGATTGCTGGGCTGCAGCACATTTGGATGACTGGCAAGTAGCTGGGCCACCCTCATCCTGCCTGCAGGGAGCTCCAGGGATTCCACTCGGTGCTTCCTCGGTGCACATTCCACTTCTGTTGGTACTTTTTTTCTTCTTTGCCTCCTTTTCAGTCCCATCAAGGCAATGACTCTCACGGTGTTCAGGGGACCCTGACTGACCTGTGGGCTCCTGTGCCAATCCAACTACAGCAAGTGGGGACACAGCCTTCATGTCACTGCGGGAATTGGAAGGCTGCCCACACACCAAGGCAGAATCCAGCTGGCTGTCAAGGATCATGGAGTCTTGGGAAGCTGACCCAGCTGCCTGCAGGGTGCTGTCTCTTCCATCTTCTTCCACTTTCTTTACAGGGCTAATCCTGTCTTCTGTTCTTGAGGTATCCTTGGGTTCTTCTTGTGTAGCTGTGCTTTGGAATGCAGAGAGCACACTGCTCCCTGTGCCGTGGCCACCAACAGCATCAGCATCCTCCACAAAGTGCTCCTTACACTGCAACGTGTCCTCTTCCTCATCCTGGCACTCTACAAGGAAAAAAATGGGGAAAAAAACCCACCCAAAACCCAACCCATACCCCACCCCACATGCACTGTGCCTGGATAGCACAAGGAAAAGGTACGCCTGGGTCAGGGGTTTCAGTTAATGGAAGAAGGAAAACACCACACAACGAAACCCAACAGTGACAAGAATTGGAGAGTTCAAAATAAAAACTGTCACCAGGACAGAGCCTGCCAGGGAAGCAAGAGCAAAGAAACTGATATGGTCAACAGGGAGACAGTCAAACCTCTGTGATGAGAAAAAGCTCATATTGAGAGCGAACATGTCTGCAAAAACATGTCCAACTGTAAACTACAGGGAGAGGTAATTCCAAGCACAGAGAATAAAGGGAAGGTTGCATATTACAAATACAGTAGTGGGAAAACAGCACTGGGGATAGCAAAGGTCTCTGGAATAATGGACAGAACAAAAAGTAATGATTTATGAGCAAAAGAAAGACACAAGTGAAATTCTGGTCTATTGTGTCAACAGGGATTATCTGACAGATGTCAGATAATTTTTTGTGTATTTCTGTCATACCAAAGCTGACCAAGCAAAAACCATTAATTGTGTAAGCTTCTGATAACTGCCTTGAATTATTTTTCTGCAGCTTCGGCCATACTTATGAATAACAGACTTACAAGACAGCAAATTAAATAGCCGGATGAGGACAAAAAAAGGCACAGAAGCGTGACCAAGTTTAACAAAAAGCACAAACTGTATTACAGTAAGGAAGACTAAATAGTAGAAGACAGGTCAGAGAGAACATAGTAAGAGAAATAATTAAAATAGGCAACATAATAATAAAGAAGTGTTATACTTTCCCAGTTGGCATCTACTTTTCCAAAAAACAATGTTCCAAAAACCTGCTGGTTGTCTTAGAATGTCTGAGTCTGTGTGATTCCTGCTAACTAAAATAAACAAATAAACAAACAAATAAATGCTTAAGAATAGAAAGTAGAATAACAAACCCAAACCCATGTATCTGCCTCTGTCTGGAGAGGGGAAAGTTTGAGCAGCATTTCAGTTGTATGTGCTTACAGAGAAACTTCATAGTTTAATTTGGGGGAGGAAAAGGATCTAGAATAATTCACTTTCTAACACTTCACGCTGGTTTACTTTTGACATATGTTAGTGCAATGCCAAAATAAGGGATTTGCTTTCTGCCTCAGTGTTTCTTTCTGAAACAACTGTTAGTCAAGAAGGAGCCCCACAACATCAGTCAGATGGGAAAATCTTCATGGAAGTATGAGGGGATGCCAGGCTGCTCCAAGACTTTCTAATTTGCTTTTTACAGGATTAAGAGAACCAAATTAACTGCAGGGGAAAGAAACAGAAGCAGGAAGTTATGAAACTATAATAATTTGATCTTGTTAAGCAACAACAGTTTCCACTGCAATTGACATGAAATATTCTGATGAGGAGGGTCAAGAAACAGTGAGGCACAGTCTGGCTCTGTTCTGTATAATTCCTTTTTCCACCACCTTCCTTGTTGCCTCTTAGCTCATCTCACTCATCATGTGAAAAAAACAGTATTTTCATGTGTCGTCCATTCTGTCACTCACCCAACACCTCAAATCAGCAATGGCATTTTCAGCTTAGTGCTTTGATTTGAGCAGGGGTTTTACTTGTTTCTGTGCAAACACCAGTATGTGTTTACACCACAAAATAAATTTCCAAGTCTTCTACCCGTTTTATATTACCTACAGAAAGATTCTTCCCAGAGAAAGTAAATCACTCTTATTTCTAAAATACGTAGCAAAGGCCTCACAACAACTTGAGACTGACAAGGAAGAGCTGCCATAAAAATAGTTTGGAGAGAAAGACAGGCCTTCATGGTAACAAAGAGGGACTTATCAAACCACTCCTTTCTCCCATATGGCAAGAGACCAGAGTGAACATCACTTCGTCCCACTTTTAGATAAAGATAACCTTAAGCAGAAGAGATTTTAACTGACTGGGAACATCAGACATGTTCAGTGTGGAACACCTGATGTGCTGAAGGCACACGAGCAGGAAGCCGAGCCCTCCTTCCCTTCTCACAACCACCTCCTTAGACATTTCTCCGAGCAAGCCAACCACTTACACTGTGACAGCAAGACTTCTGAGGGTTTTCTTGGGGCATTTGTTACAAAGCCACCTGAACGCACACACACGGAGAGATGCCAGAGGTCCATCCACACAAGGAGGAGGAAAACCGGACAGCGGGGCGAAGGTACAACAGAGAAACCCGGAGGCAGCGGGAGCCCCCTCGGCGCCACAGGAGAGGAAAGGCACCTGCCCCCAGCCCTCGCCCAGGTGCTTTCACAAGCCAAGGCACACGAGGGCCCCGCAGCCCTTCGTCCCCAAAGTCCGCCACCGAGCCCCAGGATGTGTCTGTGCGGGGTCAGGACACCGCGGGGATGAGGGAAGCGGGGGGAATGTTGGCCGGAGCGCCCAGATAACATCCCAGAGGAGCCATTACCCTTCCCCTGGCGCCGCTCATTAAACTCATCGCCGGGTGCCTCCCTCCGGTCATTAACGCGAACCGGCACTACCCTCACCCATACCCTTGTAAGAACCCTTATAACGACCCTTAAATTAACCCTCACAATAACCCTTACCCAGCCCTCCGGCGGCCCGCTCCTTGTCCTCTCCCTCCGCGCCCGCCCCGTCCATCCCGGCTCGGCGCTCCCGGCCTCGCCCAGCCCGGTCCCGTTAATGCCCCGCCCGGGGTCAGTCCTGCCCCGGCCCCGCCGCCTCATCAAGGGCACCTGGGACAGCGGGGGAGGCTGCCCGACCCCCGCACCCGCAGGGAACAGGGGCCCTGAGTCCCCGCTCGGCCTCGGCGGGGATGCTGTTCCCCCACGGAGGGTACGGGAATGCTTCAAGCTCGGCTCAGGATACCTGGGACACTGCTTCCCGCGAAGAGCTGGTGGAAATGCCGCCCACAGCACGCCGCCGAAGCCTAGATGTTGCAAAACTCGTGTGAACGAGGTGAACCTCGTTATCTGGAGTGGCGTGTCCAGTGCTGGGCTCCTCAGTGCAAGAAAGACAAGGAGCTGCTGGAGAGGGTCCAGCGGAGGCCACAAAGGTGATGAGGGGTCTGAGCATCTCTGTGAGGAGAGACTGTGAGAGCTGGGCCTGTTCAGTCTGGAGAAGAGAATGCTGAGACAGGAGCTCACTAATGTATATAAATATCTCCAAGGCAGGTGCCAAGAGGATGGTGCCAGACTCCCTTCAGTTGTGCCCAGCAACAGGATGGGCAGCAATGGCCATAAACTAAAGCACAAAAAGCTCCACCTCAGCATGAAGAACTGGAACAGGCTGCCCAAGGAGGCTGTGGATCTCCCTCTGTGGAGACATTCCAAACCCACCTGACATACTACCATTTCACCTCTTCCAGGTGACCCTGCATTGGCAGGGGGTTGGACTGGATGCTCTCTGGAGGTCCCTTCCAACCCTAATGACTCTGTGATTCTGTAATCTTTTCCAGTAGGCTGTCAGGAAGATATTGCTTTTTTAATGTGCTCTGGCTGTAGTTATTTAGCAGTGCTTCTGGTTCTCCATCAACGGGGGTTGCACTGTCTGCAAAGACAGTGCTGGCATGAAGAATGAGCCTTGCTTCACTGCATTCTGATGCACCAAAATAGAACATCCTTCATTCTCCTTGTGGTTACTGGCTTACCATCTTGTTGCTCTCACGGCACCATTCTCCTACTGTGTGTTTCCCTTATGTCTTTGTTTCAAGGTTCACTAGAGCTTGGAAGATCCTGCTTCTACTGATGCTTTCACCTAAGAGTAGTTTCATCACATTAAATGAGTGTAAGCTGAAACATGTGCCAGCATTTTGCAGACAGTATAATCAGTCTAACTGTGCACCTGGTTCAGCCACCAGCTGCAAGACATGCTGGCTGCAATGTCAGTGTGGCTAAAATGGCAATTAGTTTGCTAACAGCATTCAGCTGACAAAACACAACTCATCTTAGGAGGGATGGGACCTCTTCAATATTAGGTAAAAGTGCAAATTATAAAAATCACTAACTGCTTTAGAGGTTCCTGTTTCTGAGCAACGTTGTGTTTATTTACTGAACTCTAGTCCTACTGTCAGCTTTTACTTGTGAAGGGAATAAGAACTGTGGAGAATGCTTTATTTTCCTTGAGGAGGGACCAACACAGGTTCCCAGGGCTATGAGCTTTTTTTTTTCTTTAGAACCACATATATCTATATGTATATATATTTTATAATTCTTTATATGAAAAATGACAGGAGTCATAACATTTAATTTTCAGATGTAAACAATGACTTTCTCAGACTGTCAACAAAACTGTTTAGATGTAGTTTATACTTGTACTTCATTGCTGTTCTTGTCACAAAAATAAATTAGTGTAACTGCCCTCTGAGTTTTTTGGGTTTTTTTCCAGTATAGAAATACTGAATTTCTTTTGTCTGGATACACTATGTATCAGTCTCCACAGGTTCTTGGAGAAGATACACTGGCACCTCTCACACACTGTTCCTATGCCCTGCCTTCTTTGTGGATCTTCCCAGAAAAGTATTGGGACTTGTTTGACAAACCCCATGCTTCTGTTTTACACCAGTTTTCTGGGAAATCAGGTTATCCACATTAGATAATGCAGGGAGAAATCCCGACTCATAAAGAAGACTGTGATAGGACACAGCAGATGCTCTGTTAACTTGATTCCTGTATCCTGAACGCTCAGTTGGAAGGCGTATTGTACTAGTTTGATTAAGTTTGTACAAATGTACAGATGTTATTCAGTTTCAAAAAGCATTTCAGTGCAGATATGGATTTTGGTGGGAGGATGGTGCTGGAGTTAAAAATTGAAATAAATAGTGAGAAGTTGAGGCCTATCTGAAATGCAAGAAATCAAAATAAACCAGGGCATGAGCACTTAGAAGCATAAGCTGACCTTTAAATGTTCCTAAACATACAAAGGCCTGACATCAAGAAATAAAGGCTCTACCTGTGACATGAAGAAGTTAACCTTTGATTCAACTAGTTAAACAGCATAGAAATGCTGTCAATCACAACAGCAGCCTTGAGGTTTCCTATCTCAACACAAATTTTAACAGGAACACACAGAATTTAATGTAGATGCCACGTTGGAAGGTTCTAATGAGCAATCTGCCTGCTTGTTTTGTGAGAGCAAAAGTTGAAAAAGAATTCTTGACTTTTAAAATGTTTAACAAGATAACTTCTGATGTACCTATGGCTGTCTTCTCCTTGGTACAGGTAGCCAAGATGAAGCTGATGAGGATATGGGATACCTCAGACAGCATGGGATAACCTTACACAGACATGTGCTGAACTGATCCCAAGCCAGTGTTTTTTGTATCCTAGTGGAGACACTGATGATGCTGATGACTTAGGTATTGCATAAATTCATGCCAGCCTGGGACAAGCAGGCATTCTGGATATCTGAACATTCATGGGTCTTGTTGAGGATGATAACCCTTCTTGTGTCACTTAGTTTGAAGTAGGGCTTCCTTTGTTTCTTAGCTCAGGGCAAGCTTCAATTCTTCTAGGAGAAAAAAGTGTGTAGGTAGATTGTTGTCTGGACCGCAGATTAAAAGACAGTTGAATAATTCCTGGCTTACTGCTATCATGGGCTGGACTCCCAGTTTCTGTAGTTCATCCCTTCAGTTTACCTTGAGATATGGATGACCAACACCATTGTGGAACTTGCAGCAGCTTCAGGGCTGGGGATAACACCAAAGAACCACAGAGTGTGCTAATAAAGCAGGTTTTCCTCACTGCCTCAGCTAAGGAGAGCTGCTTGTACTTCATACTGACTTAGAAAGGACAGCTAAAGGGAAAAAATAATGAAAATACTGAATGTATATTCAGTAAATACTGAATTACTTACATTTGAGAGGAAAACGGAAGTAATGAGGAAAGCAGAAAGGTTTTTTTATTTTAACTGGAGAAGTGCATGAGTTTATTAAGACTAAAAGCAACTCTTTTTTTAATCCAGCTAAAATTATTGATATAAATAGGCTGTAATAAGCTATACTAGATACAATGTAAATGGGATTTAAAGGCAGAATGTTACAGAGACAGAAAGCTGGAAATATGAAGATAACTAATTCTTCAAATATATTAAATGCAAGAAGGCTACACGTTGCTTTCCTTGGTGTATTGATTCTTATACTTGATCTTGCATTGACTGAGCTGAACGCAAACACTTTTAACACAGAAACAGTATTTTACACTTGAAGGCATATCCTCAAATAGACAGGTTCTGCACAAATGCATGTAAACTGGACTTAAAACCAGAGAGTTCTAAAAAAGAACAGAGACCCTGGTGCATACTTTGACTTTATCTACAGTGGCTAAATATCTCAGTGTTCTCCCTAAGTGTGCAAAATGGTGCATGCAATACCACATGAGCGTTCAGAGTAAGAGCAGCAGGAAAGTGCCACTTCATTGCATGTGCCTTAGTCATGGTAATTCTGTACAGGGTGTGTACCAACACATAATAAAAAGCTTTGTCAAAAGCCACTGATCTACTTTGAGTGGGAGGCGGAGTAAAAAAAAGGTCATTTCAGACAGCTTAGTGGGACACTTGTTCGTAAGAAAGGTGACCTTTGTGAAGCAGATTCTTCAGCATGATACCTCTTAAGGTGAGGGAAAATCATCATAGTGGCTTCTGAAAACTTTGCTCCACTCCAGTGGATTTTCTCATGCTGTCAAGGACTCTTAACAGCACTCTGAGACCGAGTTAAATCTGGGTGCAATGAAATATTTGCCTATCTAAACCCCAGTAGACCTGCATGATCAAACACATAAATTGTTCTAAGTGGAAATTACACTGTGGAGATCAACACCATGAAGAATATCAAGAGGCTATTCAAATGGAAAACTCTCCTCAGCTCTGTTGTGCTTTGCACTTAGCACCTTCCTTCTCAGGAGCTCAAAGCTCTTAGTCTGCTAATACTAGTGAATTTAGCCTCACACCATGCAGTGAGGTAGGTGAGCTTCCCCCCATTTCGCAGATGGGAAAACTGAGGCAGAACTCTGAAGTGACTTGCATAAGGTCCCACAACTTGTCAGTGGCAAAAACAGGAATATATTTTCAGAAGTCCAGATCCCGGACCTCTGTCCGATTTAAGTCCCTCCCTACTACCACAAAGCAAGCAATACATGCAATCTTTACTCCTCCTCCTGCTGCCATAGTCCTGCTGACACAGAGGAAGTGAGTGATTTTTCCTGATTGAATTCCCGCTTTCTTTGGCAAAAAGCACCTGGTTCTGTCAAAGTGCTGTATTATGCTCTTTGCAGAGGCATTTCTTCTGAGGCACAATAGAAAAAAACGTGGCTTCCCCATGGCAGGGAGACTGTACAGGTCCAAACAGAGTCTTTATTTCTTGCAGAAGACCTGCTGCTTGGCATTCTTCACACGTTGCTCCTCCTTCAGGTTCTTCTGCCGCACATGTTTGCTGGAGATGTTCTCCACGTGTTCTGAGGGGAACCAGCCTCTCTCCCGGTCTGAAAGTTTTACCCCTTCCATCCATCCTGTGGTGTGGGGAGAAACACAACATGAGGCGAAAGAATCACAATTTTATTTCCATTCTTCCCCAAAAGCCCCCTCCAACAAGGCCCTAAGAGCAAAGGAGGAGATCCCCTTTCAGCTTCCAAATAAAGCATCCTAATGGAGAGTCTCCTTGTCCTCTCAAT